TATATATATACACACACACACACACACACACACACACACACACACACACACACACACACATAAGTCGATTCATATATGTCTTCTGTTTCTCATTAAAACCTATGAATTTGTCACTTGTTTTAACTTGGCTCTAGATACTATACCCTATGATACACAGTCATGGTTTGCCACATTTATTTGTTGTGAAAATATTTTTTCTAAAGAGTGTGTTTCAGTCCATTTTAAAGTAGGCAAGTTGAAAGAACACTCAGTCTTGCATTCTTTTTTATTATTACCAAAGCTGTCATTTATACCAGTGTGGTGAATTTTTATTTAACTTTTTTGTCCTGACATAAACAGAAAAGAAAATAAGAATTGCATTACCAGCAGTGTGTGTTTGTATGTGTTCTTTCTGTTGTAGAACCTAATAAAGAACTTGCCTGAGCAGAAAGAACTGAGCGCTCTTGCGGAACTAAAGGGTGAATACGATGAGCTGGTGGAGTCAGAGCAGTTTGGCATTGTGGTGAGTATAATAAGCTCTTTTAAAATATACTGCACAGTACACCCAACCATTCTCCCAGTGTGGATTGTTCAGTTTGTGAAATAGCAAATAACAGAAAAAGATATACTCAAATATTATAAAGCTACAACTGTTCCTTCCTGTAATGTTCTAATCAAACTAATATGTTGAAAAGCATAAACAGCTCACAAATTATGTTGAAACCTGGCAACATAACTGCCAAAAGACAGAGGCTTTTTTCAAAAAAGTCCTTTGGACTTGAGCAAAGAATAGTTAAATCATTTTTGATGAGTGTTCAGCATCAAGAACTTTGTGAATGCCATACTTTGACATCAGCTGTCAGTGTTGTCTCATGATAAAATCATACCCCGAGGCTATGACTCCTGTCTGTTTAAAGGTCTTTGAAAAGTATGCAGCTGTAGGCATCCAGCTTGGTGATGTATCCCAATCCTCTTATCAATTTGCCATGAAGATCCAAAGATCTTTCTTTTGCTGTTGCATGATAAATATTGGTGTGGAATATTGTGTACTTGGTTTAAAGTCTTCAGAAAATTACCTGTATTTTCAATTAATAAAGTAAGGTTTTAACAGTTACTCTTATGGCTGTATGCCATTTTTGTATACATAAGTTGATTAGCTTTCATGATTCTTGCACAATATTAAATTTAATAATGCAAATTTAAGAAAATAAACATTTAATATGTTGCAATGTCTATRTTTTGATGATATCATCTGCTTTATTTGCAAATCAGCCCAGGTTTAAGTGGTGTTATACCAACTAATGAGAATGACTGAGTAGGTGTGGTTAAACTGATGTATTGTAAATCTGTTACAGAAGAAGGGAAGTGCATCTTCAAGCTGCTCTGACCTTTCCAATTAACTACAGCTGTAATTACTTTTTAATTAACAACCTCTGCTACCTATTCACTGAGAGAATATTCAACACTTTTGGATACTAAAGAAGCTGAAACCTTTTTAATGTACACTTTACTACAAGATCATAGACATACAATGTTTACTTTAATAAAACACATGTTCTGTTTGACCCAAGGGTTGCAGACATGATCCATCACACCAGTAATTCTCTTTGCTCACTGAAAGCTTTCTTCTTACTCCTTTAGAAGATGTGATGAAGCAGGGGGTGGCAGTTTGTCGTGGGATCTTGGCAATGTTGTGATCACCTACCATCTTACTGATTAAGCTTCTCCTCATTGCAGATATATTTAGTTCCCTTGGGAAATAAGCACTGCTCAAGCGTTCTTGCACCCGAGCTGTCACCAACATACTCGATTACAGTGTGATTTTTATTATTGCATACAAATCAATTCAAAGAAAGGTTGGGAGTGCTTCTGTTTGCGTATGCCTTGACAACAGGCAACCAGGGAGGGCAAACAATCTTATGTCAATGTGTTGCTTTAATTCCCTTACCCATCCATTCATCAATACCACCAGTGGTTTTATTTCTAGATTTGCAATTATGGTTTAGGACTATTAAAATTCACAATGCAGATGCTTATAAATAGCCACAAGCAGTGAAATCAATCTCACAACTAATTGAACATGTTTTAGGGAAGAAAGCTTGTTGTCAGTTTTAGAGATCAGTGTTAGATATTATGAACATATTTAGCAAAAAAGTATATATTAAATTTATATATAATCTATTAAACCACAGTGATTTACAAAAATATGTCATAAGTTAAGCTTTAATGAATATGTAGCATTCATTTTGCAGGCATTTMCTTTTTGATTGTATGCAAAGCAAACAATGTCCTGCTTTCTTTTCTTTTAATGTTTTTATTACCTAGATGAGTTCAGTAAAACTTCTACGACCTCGTCTTAACGGCATCCTGTTCAAGCTGACGTTTGAGGAACAGGTAAATAACATCAGACCAGACATCATGAATGTGACATTTGCCTGTGAGGAGGTGAAGAAGAGCGAAGGCTTCAGCAAACTCCTGGAGCTCATATTGCTGGTCGGCAACTACATGAACGCTGGCTCGAGGAACGCRCAGACGTTTGGTTTCAACGTCAGCTTCCTTTGCAAGGTAAAAGTACTGCCACGCCTCAGACAAACCTCGCATTTTAAAAGCATTAACAGAAGAATGACATTTACATGAAAAGAGTGTTAAAATGTTGATTTTTTTATTCTAAACTTCCTATTTATGTAGTACAAACTAAATTAACTGCAATGTATGATTAAAGAAGGACAGGATGAWATGACTAAACTTTATATCATGGTACAATATAATTTCAATACTGATTTGAATAATAAAATTGTGAGAAAAACTGTCAAGAACACCAATATTTGCTGTACACATTGCCTAACTTTCTATTCCATGATTTCTCAGCCAATTTCAGGGCATGAWTTTATTGGATGTATACACAGACAGCTCTGCTGCTCCTAATTGGCTGCTTCTAGAGATTCCATCCTCAGGACATGAGTCCTTATTAGCTTTATTAAGGTCAGCTCAGTTTGWATATGGAACCAATTCAGGAAAACTTTTAACATCTAGCATCTAAAACTGGAGGACATGATACTCCTGAAATCAAGATGATCATACTGTCTAAATAGTGCCACCCTAATGCACACAAAAACTCTCCCTGACTCATATTTTTGTTTCCAGGTTTTGGCTGTTGTTTAAGCATGAGTATAATATTTGTTTCACTTATCTTAGCCTGTTTTAATGCTTTATATCAAACTTTGAAACTAAATTCATTGACTGAGTTGGATCAATACAGGAATTCCAGGATGACCACCTTTAAATCACATTTACAGTCAGGCTTCAGATTGTAAAAAAAAAAAAAAAAACACTTTAGTATGATGATGAACATTGTGTAGTGTTTCTCAAAACTGACTGAATCAGTTTGGAGTGTTGTGAAGCCTGTGAATGCCTCAGGGGGCTGATTGGGCCATTATTGATGGACAAGGAGGAAAAAGTATGCTTTCTCACTTAAAATCAATCATGTAAATGGCACCCTGGGTGGAAGGTCTAGTGTACCTAATGCGCTCATCAGGGAAGAGGTTGATAATAGTGGGAATGTTCAGCAGGGGACAAAACACACTTTGGCCTGACTTTACCTTCAATGTCAATCCCTCCAAGTTCACTCCTGTTTTGTGAGAGATGGAAACAAGGTTAGACTTGTCTTGTAAGGCCTGTTTTTCACAAGGCCAAAACAAAGACTGGGGATCTGTTTGGAAAAACATTCCACAATGATTCTAGATCACATTTTCAATAAATCKGACTTTTCATATTGACAATTTTATAAATAAAAATACCTCACTCATTCTTCGGTAGATTAAAAAAAGCTGAAGATATTGTTGAACATAAGCCACAACAATCAATGTTTTAACACCAAAATGAAAATGGAGATAGTTGTTTTTGTACAATAACTTTTTTCTTTATTTTAGTACAGATCATGTAATTTAATAATTGTTTGATGATGATAAGCAACACACTTCCAAGCAGAAAAGTGTGCTGGACAGAAACAATTATCAGCATCTAATTGTGATGCTGTGTTCAAAGGACCTTTTTCTACAATGAAAATCATTAAATTTGTAGGTGTCATTATATATAGTTCTGACCAAAATACATGGAATTTCTGTCTTTTTGTATTTACAAAACACATTCTAAACTGTAGTTCATGTATTCAGTTTCATACAGATGCTGTATTCATATTCATTTAGCCTTTCCATTAAATCAAGATTTTATGCAGCTTTATGAGCAACCATAAAATGTGTTTGTACTTAGCTGCTGTTCCATCTGCAGAAGTTAAATTGAGCAATCAATAATCCTTCTGTAAGTGTGAGTGTTTTATATTCCCCAAAACATTTTTTTCTTTTAGTAATTATTGTTTTTCATATTAATTTGTTATATTTAGATATTTAGGTAGACATTTGTTTTCTTGTAATATAATTTGCCATTTTAAATTCTTGGGAATAGATGTATGAACTAGTTAGGGATTTGGATTTTTTACCTACTGTAAAGGTGATTAAAAAAAAAACTGTACCAAAAACAGTATGTATGAGGCATTGTTTTTCTGTCTCCTTCTATTAAACAGATTTGTTTGAACAAGTAAAGTTCAACAACGTTACATTAGGTTGCCCTGGTAAAACATAATATGATAAGACATATTGAGGGTGACACTTCTTTTAGGTGGCTTGTTACATTCTTTATGAATATAAAAAGATGGAGGGAAGAAGAAAATAAAGATTTAGGACACTTATTTTTGGGTATCTTGAGCTCATTTTAGGACTCCGTGTTCATGCACAGGTGTTCTAAATTTACACAAACTGTATATTAGATAAGAGAGGAAAGAGACTAAATTTGTAGAGGTTCTTGACGTTGGCAATGACAAAGAGGTTAGAACTTCCTTGTAACCTTCACAACTACACGTTTCTAAGGTGTAATGACTTCACCTTATGTCCGTAATTGTGACCAAAAAAAGAATTGGAGAGAAACGCTCATGCTGGTCATGCTGATGCCTAATTCATAGTTGACCACCTTAAACAACTCAAAACTTATATGAAAAATCTTAGCAGTTCAGGTGAATGCCTTAAACTTATAATGTGCAACTTTTGAACCTAATGTTTACCTATAAAAAACATCCATTAAACACCAATGTTCCGTTTAAAAATAATTGTTCAACATAGTTTTGAACTTCATGTTTATAGTGAAACCTTTTGCCTGTTTTAAGTTGGCTAGCCACTTTTGTCTTGTCAGTAATATTCACCTTACAATGAACAAATGTCTCCAGATTCATTTGGTGATTCAGTTGCAGCCCTGTTACCCAGAACAGCAGGGTCTTCCTATTTACGCCTACTGCTCCTAATGGAACCCCAGTGTGCCCATCCTCCTGCTCTGTATGGCCACTAGTTGAGTTTGGGTTAAAGAGTCATCAATAAAAGATGTGCACATTTTGCCAGTCAGGCTTTGGGCAATATGCTACAACCTGCAGATACACTTTACTCGTGTTACATTGTGTGCTATCTAATGATCAGAAATCAATTAGTCACTGCTATCAGAGAAGATAACTGTGTCTGAGGTGATTTTTCATACTGTAGTAAGTGTTATGTTTAAATGAATCAGAAATTGAAAATCCATGAAAATATTTTTTAGTTAACCAGCATATAAAAGTGAAAGATCATCCTGGTGTTATACTATATGTTTATTTTTATACTTTTTATACAAGTGTTGCCTCTGTCATTGAATGCATTTGTTTTAGTATTTCTTACAAGTGTTTCATTCATCAAGTCTACGTATGCATCTGCATGCACACATTTTTTGGGCATGTCCAACTTGCAGGTTAGACTGCAGATATTGTCGGGTTAAGCACACGGAGGTGTGTCGTGCTAATTAGCTTTCCCAGCATGCCATTCAAACGGCATTGCAATCACAATAGGAAATGAAAATGGAATGAGTTTTGTATGCACTTATGTGAAGAATCACAAACAGGTGCTTGGCAGAGACTGTATCATTCTCTCACTTATAGTTTTTTACCTTCTCATATTATTCTCAGGGGTGTGCCATGTAGCCATCATAAATTACAGCAGTTAGCTATAATGCGATTGGTGTAAAGTAAAGATTATGTATAAAATTGGAGGTAGGGGGGTACTTGCTGTGAAGAAAGTTGATTTAATCTGTGTTGCTGTTGTTGTTGTTGTTTTTTTTCCTCTCAGCTACGAGACACCAAATCAATCAGTCACAACACAACACTTCTTCATTTTCTGGCTGAGAAGTGTGAAGTGAATTATCCAGAGATTTTGAGGTTTCCAGATGAGCTGGAGCATGTGGAAAATGCCAGCAAAGGTACGTCTTTCTTTATGTTTTTTTTTTTTTTTTGAATCAGCTGACTACATAATATTCCTAAATCTTTTTTGCGAGGAAAGACACACATTTTTGCTTTGTTGCARCCAAAGCACATCCCTGAATCAGAGCTTTCATTTACTTTTACTTTATTTTTAACACATTAAAACCCCACACATACCCATTTAATCCCCTGCCGGCAACAAACATCTCCCTTTTGTGACAGGAATACGATAGTTTTGTGGGTCTGTGCTGTCATTCCGCCTGTCAATAATCTAATTCCACTTTAATTCTATTCACAAGCATTTGGTGTTTTTCCCCACAGGCTTATTTACTTTGTTAGTCTTCTAATTGGTCATTTAATCTAATTCAACTAATTATGCTCTTGACTGAGGCTGCCATCCATTGTGTAAGTGAACTGAATAGTCCTCAAGCATTTTAAGTATTAAAATGTACGTGAGCACACAACTGGAGTTATACAAACTTTATTTTTATATGGAAAATATTAATTCAAGGAAAAAGTCTGTCAATTTGCCGAGACCAATAAAAAAATCCCTTTGTGTTCTAACAATACATTTAATTTAACAATAAAGGTAATGTGTCTTCTTATTTGTTCTTTCATGTGAACACATTTGTAAATATCCTGTCAAACTCATTGTCTATAGATTTTAGTTTTGAAAGTCTTTAGAAAAATTTATTTATGTAATGGGGAAAATTAATATGCAGTCATCTCAATAGCTGATAGTTATACGTTTAGTAAGCCAGTATTTAAAATTTTCTCAAAAAAAAAATTACTACAAAAAATATTGTACCTTGCCCAGCCTAATTTACTTTTTAAAATGTCATTGCAATATTTTGTAAGAACATTGCTTAACATAGATGCCTGGGTTCAAAAACTATTGTATAGTTTTGTTGCATACTGCAATTTACAGATATTCTACTTTATAATATAAATTTTTCTTGTCATAGTTCAATGATTATTTATTACTAGTGTGTTCAGATTTTCAGCATTACCAGATGCAAATCCAAACTGTATATACACACAACAGCTTGTCTGTCATTTAAACATACTATTTTTGTTTCAGTCAGCCTGTTTTGACCACCACATACATATCTGTTGTTCACTTAAACTGAAAATGAAAAAAAAAAAAACTGAAAAACAAAATCACTGCATCTTTTAGTGCAGAGACACGGCTTATGAAGTGATACATATATCAGAATTGTGTTCCCAATCTTAATGAGTGTGGTCATTCCTCATTTTAAAATGACAACTGATGAAGCCAACATCAAATCTCAAATGTTCTTTTGGTGGATGTAAAAAGACAAGACAATGAATAAATAAAAAAAAAATTGTTTGTGAAAACAGACAAATTTGCCTTTAAACGTATTTAGATACTGTAGATAAAGAATGTTCCTTTATATGAAAGTCATACCTGCTCTCATTGTTTTGCCTTTTTATTTATTTATTTATTTATTTATTTATTTTTTTTTGCTTTGC